AATTTGCTTCCAATATATACTTGATAAAACTTGCACACTTTTTTATAATTGGTTAAATGTTGGGTTAGCAAGATACACGCAAGAATTTATTTAGTTAGTTGAAACTTCATTAAAATTTCGTGTAATTTATTTGGGCCAATCAAATTTGCTTTTTTTGCGTGATAAAATCAAAATATCAACGAAAATCATTACCAATTATAAAAATGTCCACTATGCTTTATTAGTAGATCATCAATTGGAAAATTTCCCTTGTTTCTTGTAATTTACCATTATTTGAAAACGGAAATACCTTCCCAAAAAAATTAATTATCCTCTGCATCCAATTTCTATACATCAAGAACTTTTACATGACATAATTTTTTCGTGAAACATGAAAATTCTTTTTGATTTTGAAAAAATTACTCAAGTTACGCCCTATTTAAATTACTTATTCTATTTTGTTAAATTAAAATATTTCATTTTAAAATTATTATACTAATCTAGAAAACGTTCCTATTTTTACATTCTTTTTTTTTCAATAACACATCATATCAGTTTTATATTAATTAAAATTTCTTTATCAAAAAAGTAACTTTTTTTAGTTGTAAAAAACTCTTTTTTTTTTGCATATCCTATGCACGTATTTATTTGTATATATATGGATTTTTCAGAAAAGATGAAAATGCAAAAGCTTTGCGTTGACGAAATTAACGTGTGAAATTGTCAATTGTGCGGTCGAATTTCAACCAAAAAAAGTTTAATAAATGCTAGCCAAGTCATTTAATACTCCCTTTTAGGCCTAAATTTCATTAACGAGATTGCAATCAAAGAAATCGAAATATTGGATTATTTTTATATAAACAAAACATTATAAAAAAAAAAATCAGGCTTAAATTGCGGCCTCAACTGCAACTTAAAATATATATATACATCGTGATTAAATTAGAAATCCTTTTTCAAATAAAAAATCTTTTGCTGAAATTAGTATTAGTGTATTTCATTACACGGGTTTTAATCATATTAATCACATAAGACACGGATGCGAATGGAAGAATCTTCATCCGTTTATCATTATAATAACAATATGTTTTTATCTGTTATTGTATTCAAATTAAAAAACTTCTCGTTACATTGAACAAAAATCTGGGAATCCGAGTTCATAATGGCCAATTTTGCCTAGTTCATAATGCTTACCATGGCTTACATATGATTTTAAAACCTTGTTATCAGTCCAGAAGCTTGAATTCCATCATTACACTGTAGTGTAGTTACTCATGATATTCATCTTTAGGATAATAACAATAACTATTTTACTAGATAGATTCTTTCTGTTAATAATTGTATTATGTGTTTATACTTTTACTCTATGAGTTTGCTTCATAACAAAATTTAACATCATTTAAAAAAAAATAGACGAGTATTGAAAATTTATGCAATAAACTAATGATGGGTGGCCGAAATTATTTAGAAAATCAGAAATAGTTTCGCCCACAGAAATTAGGAATTTGGACTCCTATACCGATGGCGGAGTTAAAAAATTGCATAAATATAGTAATAGACGAAACTCCTAAACCGTGAAATCCGAAAATATTAGCTAAATAAATTAATAAAATAAGGTTTCAACCCATATTGATTATTACTACTTTTCTTTCCCGATATCATAAGTTTCGTCAACGGTTTAGGAGTTTCGTCAACAGCTTAGGGGGCTTTGTTCACGATTGGTTAGCTTCAGCCACTACCGCCCCAAAATTATTAATATTAAGTAACGGATCGTGTAACAATTAGGGAGAAATTTTTATTTTTAGTTTTTTATTATTATTCTTATAAATTTGCCCCAAATTTTTCTTTATTGTGATATAATATATGATACAACTTAACTAAATGATTTATCATCATTACAAATTGCTTGTGCCGAATGATCAATGTGATAAATAATAATTATATTATTATCTCCATTCAATCAACAACATCAATAACCAATGCTTCAATATTTTTTTTTTCACACGGAAACCTTGAACTAGACAATCCCGTCCTTGTTCCCATTCGGCCAATTATATCCATCGGGTTAAATTGCGGCTGTGCTAATCTTGGAAGTCGTTAAATATTTTTAAAATGTCGAGTTTCCCAACAAATCTCAAACTCTATATCTGAGTTTTTTGAACCTTATAATAAAAACATGTTTTAGTGATTGTCAAGAAGTCGGCCAAGAAATATTGGCAAGTGGATTTTATAAAATTGTTCTAGCGTTGGAAGTTATGATTGGCCATCTGGAAAGCAATAAAAACTAAACCACAATATACGTAGAACCTGCGTAAAATATCAGATATTGTCAAAATTGTGGGTTTACGTAGAATATACATAACGATCCTGTCTATAACGAACTGAGATGTTAAGCCTGATTTTTTATTATTTAAATGTAGTTAAATTCTCTAGAAAATCATTTATATTAATACATATGTAAACTCGATAGGTCGGTTTTGGCCCCTTTTTTACTATTTAAAAAAATTCGATAAGTCGGTCGATCTATATGAAGTCGCGATAAGCGCCAAGTCTGTCAATCACTTAAGCCAAGTATAATAATAATAATAATAGTAATTAAATGAATCACGATAAGTCGGTCTCACGTGATATTTCATTGTTATTATGTGAAGGGTCATCATTACTATTTTAGTAATGCGTTATTTAATAATTTTTTATTCGTAATATTTACTGACTGCATTAGCAAAATGATTATTTTTGTAATAAAATATCTGATGTAAAAAAACCATCTTTATTGTTCTTTGAAAGAAGGAAGCATTCTCACTCGTGAACTACATTCATATTTTATCTATTACCTCCATCAGTTATAATGCATAATCACACATCCATTTTTTCTTGTCAAGTAATTTTAAAAAGATGACTTTTTTCGCTTTAATATTTTATTATCTCAGCAGTTGTATCATCGATTGTATCGCTCATTTATCATAAATAATGCATTGATACATTATTATCTCATCAGTTATATCATCAAGAATTTAGAGAACATTCTTGTCTAACCATGAACAATATACATTGTATGCCTTAACTGACGATAATTCACATGACATTAAAAATTATGGGATTACTTCTAATTGTATTAGAAATCAATTTCGATTTTTCCCATTCAAGTTCTTTATAAAATAAAATATTTAACTGCTTTAAAAAAAAGGGCACCATTTCATGCAAATATAGAATTGTCAAATGCTTTTCATATTGGCAAGAAAAGTCCTGTTGCTGAAATTTTAAAAGATGCAATTGATGATGACTCTTAGAAAGCCAATAAAAGAATGATGAAATTTGACATATGATGATATTGGCTATTCAGGTGAAACAATCACTTAATGTAAATATAGATCTTAGTAAAAGAAAAAGAAGGATCCTCCAATTTTATATTAGCTTTGACATCTAGCTCCTCCTCCTTTTACTCAATGACATCACTATCTTTAGGAATGTTCTCTAAAAACGTGATGGTTGTATAATTTCACTTTCACTTTCAGAATCACTTGAAATGTCAATTTCATTCACAATTAATATTAGAGTAAATACATTATGACCAACAAAGTTTTTAAAGGGCTAAATTTATTAAAAAAAAGGTTGTTCTTTTTTGCAGCCAGGACGAATTTTTGTACGTGGTGCACAAAATCTAATTTCCCTTATGAAAAATAATGAAAATAGAGATTATCTACCCATCAACAATTCACCCAATTCTCCAACTTTAACCTTATTATCACAAATAATCTAATAAATTTCAATTAATTAATAAACTATCTGCCTTATTAAAATTATATTTCATGATTTAATAGGCTATCATTACTTAAATTAAATTTAACAAACTCATCACTTAATATCCTGCTTGTAAGGTACAATTCCATAGATTTTATTTGATAATTTTTCATCAACTGGTCCACATAATCCTAGATCTGTGATAAAACAAAAACACCCTTGCAATAATATCTTTTTCATGTATAAAATATAATGATTCACATAAATATTTAAAAATATCAATTCTATCTTTTGATGTTAAATTATAATGATTTTTTGTATATAATCTCTTAAATTTCCCTCTTGTACATAACTAGGAACTATTGCATAATTTCCATTTTCTGGGAATTTAGTTATACCATAACAAGGAACAATTAAATTGGATTTAATTTTACAATAAAGTGATTTAATTTAGTTTATTTTAAATAAAGGTTTTCCTGGCTTACTTGAATTATTTAATGATTTTAATACTACTCGCTGAGCTCCAAAATAATTAAACTCCTTTTTGTTTTCATCATAACCAAAATTTCTTCCTTTTGTCCACCCAGCAGTATAAATCCATCTTCTGATAACTTTTTTGTTTTATAAAATTGCTCATAAGGTATCCATTCTATAATTCTACCTAGGAGAGATGAAAGCTGTTGACATTTTTGAATAAAACTATCAATTATCTCATTTCCAGATGTCCAAGTACTGAAAAGGTTCTGTAAGTGTAGATTAATACACTTTTCACAATGTTTATCAGAGTATCTTTCTGCTTTAGAATTATTGCATTCTCTTGGTTCACCAAGTTTATGAATTGCGTTATTTAATTCGAAATTATAAATAAACCTTTCCCTACAAAATTCCTTTTCATTTTCTAATAATTTTTGTTTTCATTGACTAATTGGAAAAAATAACTTTTTAAATTTTCTGCATCAGAAATAATTGGAAAAGCAGAATAAGCAATAATATGCATTTCGTTATGAATTTTACGTACTAAATCTTCTCTGTCTTGTGTTAATAACCTAACGAAGGATCTATTATTAGTACTGTTAGAGAATCTTGTTTTCGTGTATCTTTAATATAATAATTGCTTAATTGTTTATTCATTGTATGCAGTATCTCGAATTTAATTTTAATATAGTATATATGAGTGCATAAAAACAAAAAGTAAACCCAAAATCTTTTACATATTGACGTCATTTTTTCCTTGAATTCAGTTAAAACTTTATATTATCCTCATTGTCTCATTGTCTCATTGTCTCAGATCCAAAAAACAATAATTATAACCAATTCAAATTCCTACCTCAAACTCCTGATTCTTTTCAATTGTTGTCCATTGTCTATATTTTTAATTTTCTTTTTAAAGAGCGTACTAAAACAAAAACACCGCCATCTTTTCCTTCATAGTTGAAAATTTATCCATGTAAATTTCTTTTAAGGCCACAAGAAACCATCTATATTAGTCTTTGACAATTGTCAGCAAATGAAGATGAATCCAATGTTTTTTGCAATTATGATGTCACGACGAATATTTAAAACTTGCATTTGAACAGTCCTTTTGTTTCCTTGGGCAGAAAATCAGAACCGAAGGAGTTTATCAGAACTAAAATTATATTCGTATCTGAATTACAATTAATTAGCACTATTAATAGAAGTTTCAATTTTCTTATAATACATCTTCCCTGATTTAATGAGTGTCTGGAATAGTCAACTATACAAATCTGGGCCGCAATTTGCAATCAGGCCTTACTCTGTGGTTCCTTGTCAGTATGCAGGGTGTTGCAAGATGGGTGTTGTTGACAAAAGTAGAGTATTACAGCAGCAATGTTGACTTGACATGCTGAGAGACAAGTAGAATTCTAATGCTGCATCAATCACAGCACCAATGCCTAAGGTATACTAAGGGTAAAGTTTCGACTGAACATTCAGCTCGACTTGAGTTTGATGTCACATAACTGATATAAATTTTTTTAGATTAATTGTACTACGTACGTATTTTTATTTTATTTATGCAATCCATTACCTAAAAACGATTCAAGAGCCTATTTTCTTGAACTTGAAAGTTCAGGTTTTAACTAGAGCCTGCTCAACTTAGGTTTTCCATCCTATTTGAATAAGATTTATTCGAATTATTTGTTTTGTTGTGAATCGAGTATTCGAATAAAATAATAAACGAAATAATTCGAACAGGAAATTTTTTTTGCTTCTATTTTTTTTTAAAAAAAAAAAATCCAAGGTATAAACGAAAAATTCATTGTTATTAAAATGTTTTGTTTTGTTTTAAAGCATTATGTAATCTTTCAGGATAAAATTATGTTTTTATATGTGATGGTTTTAATTATAAGGAAGAGCGAGTTTCCATTTTTGAGAGAAAAATTTACCCCTGCGAACGAATTAAAATTTTTGCTTCGCACGTTGAAACACGATTAGTAATTTGGCATAAAAATTATAAATTCATTTGTTTTTGTGTGCCAAAATACTAAATAACTCGCTTTTTTATTTTTTAGTATGATGGTTTTATATACATTGCTATTTCTATTTAGGTGGTTCATAGACATGTACAGCTATCCGTCGCCATGCTCTCTTAGCAAAGTTATCTTCATAAAAATCCAGCTTCATAAGGAATTTCTCCACGTCACACTTCCATAATCGTTAGCTTCAATATGTGTGTGTATGTACGTATGTATGTATTTATTTATTAATTTGCTTTATGTCACCATCCTATGGTTTTAATTAATTGTGGATCGATAACTAACAATAATAAATAATGAAATTGGGAACATTCCATATTACAAATTGAAAGAAAATAAATTTCGTTTGTTACCTTTTCTTTCTCAATTATTCCTCAAACATCTCAAGTAATGAAATCATGACTGATTTGGAGTGATTCTCCCAAGTGAATGGCTTAGACATCGCCACCATCTTTAATAACGCGGCTCTGGCCGAAATCTACTAACCATGATCAAAGTCTAGTCACGACTTAAATGCAACCAATCCTAGAAACTCATGTACATACAATAATTAATGCGCAAAGTAAAAACCTTTCCTAATTTATTAATAACCTGTTAGCCACAATATCTTCTCAATAATACTAAGACTATTCACAAAGGAAAATAATTGAATCGCCCAAGTAATAATAATACTAAGACCATCACAAATGAAACAAATTTTGAAAAGACCACATAATGTCCTAACAAGTAGTGCTACGAGACCTCGGTGGAAACTCCACCTTGTCATCCAATTCGTAGCTGAAAAGTTTTAGCAGTAGAGGAACTAATTTCTCATACAACTTTCCAAGTAAAATGTGTAAATTTAGCAATGAGCTCTGTGTGATATATATAATTTATTACATTATAAATAATCTGTCTGCATCACTGCTCTAAATAGAAATAACTCCATAAAAATTTTTTCAAAGATTAAATCTTTTTATGCTATGATGCCACAGTTTGTTATCCGCATGGTGGGGATGATGATCCCCGGGCAGTGAAATGATCAAAATCTACCGACAGTTGTAACAAAATTCTGCTTATTTAATTTGAGAATTAGAATATTTATTTGTATATTCGAGTCAAAAAGCTAGAACAATATGGACAAAGATCAATGACCCTACCTATAACCATTCTGCTAATTTTCAATGGTATTCATCCATCAAGAATGGTTTAATCTTGAAGAGTTTTAATGTATTCTTCCCAATTCTGTTATATATAAATAAACTAAATTTTATTAGTGAATTTAGATTTACTAAGAAAAAAAATATTGTAATGAATTAATTTATTATCTTGCCTGCCATATAATGACTAATTCACTTGGATGTCTCAAACACAGGAGAAACGATTGGGGTGGGAAGATTACTGAATGATAGCAAACATTAATATAACTACAAAGATAGTCACAACTTAGACATTTGTAAATCAATAGAATTACCAAGAAAGATTACATCCTTTGGTCTCCAATTGCAGTGTGCTAAGGACTATCTTTAACAACTTGTTTATTTCGTGGCCTTCTTAATTTGGAGATCAATCAGCTGCCTCGCTCATAATTCCGTTATGACCATATCGGGACAAACCAGACGCACCATAGGAGAAACTACAAGAGATCCTTCAACGAAGCATCCTATACAATTTTATAAAGATTCACAGCCCCAACCCACCCTGAATCCCTCAATTTTATCATATCCTTATGGCTACAGGTTAGTTTAGCTTTTTACTGGAAGGATAGAGAGAATAATTGCAAAAAAAAAAATAGTAGTATTTTTTTGTTTCGGGAATCAAATGCCAAAAGACTAAATAACACTAAAGGTTACGCGATTGATCGAATAAAAATCCAATCATTGACTATTGAGATTTAAAATAAACCTCGATATCACGTGACCGACCAAAGGTTGTTATTGTGCTTATTTATCCGTGACCATAAGCACGCGTCTTCTTCACAAAGGATTCATTTTCATCAATAAAATTAAAGACCGAAAATATAAAAAACGAGATGAGAATATCTGAGTCAGAGAAAACCTCATTGTCTATTCGCTTTTGAGTAGAAAAATACTTTATACTTATTTTTTGACTATTCAAGTCCTCCAAGTAAATCTTAAAAATGTACAATATCAAATTATACCTGTATAACTAGTACTTATGACCCGGATCTTTGTTTTTTCTAAAATGATATTGTAAAATGCATCAATATAGGAAAATTTATTTAAAAGTATTAAAGATGCGCAATCAGATCCGCCGCCATTACCTAAGAGGTTTTTGAAAAATTAAAAAGATTATACAATAATAATAATATAATGAAAGTAATGTTGGAGAAGTCTTATAAACCTTTCTGTTTATTAATTTTGTTCCCATGTTGAAAATTACGAGGTTTTGATGGTGAATGATGTTAATTTGGAGAGTTGCAGTGAAACGTTTATATGAGCGAAACGTTTACCAATGAGAGTTTAGAGGATTAGTGTAAATTTGTATAGACAAGACAATAAAGTTATTAGTATAGAAGTAGTCGATGTAGGTTGTAAAGAGGATTTCCACAAAGACTCCTTTAAGGAATAACATACACATACGAAAATTTTTTTTGTAGTTTTAATTGCAATATTTTAAAGTAGAAAGTTATGATGGAACAAAATGGTATCAGCTAAATATTGATTCAAAGATGAGGAGCTCTTTCGATAACGTGAAATTTATTTATTATTATCATATAACACGTATTAATAATACTTTAGTTTCTCAGGTTTCTCGATACACCCAAATACCAACTGCATCAACATCAACTCTATCAGCAAACATTTTCTAATTTGCATGTCAAGCTTTAAAGGTTGCATCATACCATTGAATACAAACAATCAGAATGTTTGGTTTTTGTAAAAATCAGGAAGGAGATTCTTTACTTTTTTATTATATGTTAAAACTTGCCAACCAGGTTTAATTTACAATTGAAGTATCTTTTAATAGTTTTCATATTACTTAATATACAAAAGTGATAGTGATAATAAAATTGTGAGCTTAATGCCATTATTTGCATAATTGCAAATACTTTTGTCCATTAAGTGTATTTATCTATTTGTTTGTTTATAATAAAGTTGATTTTTGATTATTGCCGTTTTAAATACTCGACCTTTTCTAATGGATATAACATTTTGACTAAACCACTAAATCATCAAAGATAATTTCTAAATTTGATTAGCCCGAAAATTACACAACTGAATTTTCCGCTCATATTAATATATACAAAAAATAAATAAATAATTTTTTATAACTCTATTTCTAATTATAACGAATTCTATAAATTAAATTTGAAAACAATAAATTATAAAAAAAAAAACATCTATTTCTATAATATTATCTATTATGTTGTCATAAAGACTCAGAATTTGTCGTTAAACTTTTTTCAGGTGGTGTAACTTCAAGTTTTTCTTGAGTTGGATTGTAATTGATTCCATTTTGTTCAAGCGTTTTTTGAATTTTTTCAAGAGAGATTTGATTTTGTTGAAATATTTTCATTAAAAGTCTTGTTTGTTGTAATAGTGTATCTTGATTATTTATTATCTCATCATTAAATGAAGAATATGCACGATTTACATTAGATGCAAAAGATTGTGTGCTCTCAAAACTTTCTCTCATTCCAGTTCCTATATATGTGTTAGGAGGAGGGAAAAGAAATGAAAAGATGAGAAAAGGTATATATATATATATGATATGGCATTTAGAAGAAGAGGAGATGAAATTAGATGTGACATAATAACAACAATACTAGAATAATAATCTTGGATCATCATCATCATCATCATCATCAATATTTACCAATTGGATATCCTTCACTTCCGTTATCTTCAATATTATCATCAGGATTGTTATGATTATCCTTAAAAAATTTATAGATATAATTTTATATAATATTTTTTAATAATAAAGATATAAAATAAAAATACATACTCTTACATAACCTGCTGCTGATCTACGATATTGTCTCATTGCTTCCCAAACTAGTGTGAAATTTCTTCCAACGATAATTGAAGGTAGAGCAATAAGCTAGCATACACATACACACATATATAATATATATAAAATATTAACAAGTTTTATAATATTATTATTATAGTTATAAGTATCAATAATCATTACCAATATGCCACACATCATAGCAGGAAATGCTATCAATTTTCCAATAATTGTTGTAGGAACCATGTCACCATATCCTGTGGTTGTAATAGTAACCATTACAAACCAAAAGGCTGAAGGAATACTATCAAAAGAACTGTAGTGGTAATAGCAGTAGTAGTACTAAAAATATGAATATTTGTACACGTATATATTTACATATTGAAATTCATAAAAATAATTATTTATTCTCTGACCTTGGATAGCCGTTACTATCAACAAATGTTAGTTTTTCTTGGTCCCATGTTCCTTTTTAATTATTAGAATATCCAACAATTAATAATAATGATAATTTTCGTTTTGACAAAAAAATAAATAAAATAAGATTTACCTCTTTCAGCAAAATATAATAAAGTTGAGAATAACACTATGCTTGTAACCATAAAGAAAAACAATGCTCCTAAAGCATCCATGCTTCTTTTAACTGCTATAATCATAACCTCAATTGTCATAATGATAGTTGAAGAATATTTGAATGCCTTAAATACACGAAGAAGACGAAATAATCGAAGGATGGTAAATCGAAAATCATATGTCTATACAGATCAATACTAAACATTAATTTATAAATACAGTACATAATAATGATCAAAAATAAAAATAAAAGATTCTTACTGTATCATGATGGAATCCCAATGCAATATAATATGGAACAATTGCAATGAAATCGATAATAGCAAGAGGAGCTAATTCAATCAGAAAATTGAAGATTTCGAATTTTTTGATAATTGATGAGAACAAATCAATCTGAAAGACACCAAGAACAAATCTGTCCAAGATCTCATAAAAAAAAACAAAAACTCAAGAATGCAAATACAGATGCACATAAGCTATTTACCTTTTATGAATTGCCATAATTGTTTGATCGAATCTGAATGAGCTATAAATCTTAGAATATATTCAATTGTAAACACTACTACTAATGTAGTCTCAAAATTAAACCTGAATTATTTAATGAATGAAGATCAATAATTAAATATATACTAATATATTTATGCGTAATATATTTACATACCATACTGAACCGGAAGTAGATCTAAAGGATGGTATTGTTTCAATGGTGGTCAATACAGCACTCAAAACAATTGAAAAAGATACAAACACATGAACTATTAATGCTGCATTACTCGAAGATGGATCTTCTAATAATAAAAATAATTTTCTTTTCCAATCTGTTTGCATTGAATTAGCTTCAGTAATATTAGCAGAATTTGTATCTGCATTTTTTAATTCTTCAGGTATTTCCGTTAATACCCATTCATCTTCATTCAAACCAAGCCCATTAATGGAATTTCTATGAAGTGAGGGGGTAGTAGATGATATTGGAGAAGTAGATGAAAAATGAACATGCGGTTGTATAGTAGTCGACGATCTGCTTTGTAAATTGAGTGAAACTGGTTGTTCTGTCAATGATATCTCTTCCAAAGGTATTGCTTGTTGATGAGGTTGATTAGAAATCGATACATCGCTGTCGATTGGAAGTTTTGTAAATTGATGATGTTTAGTCATTTTTTTTTGGAAAAAATTAATTTGTGAAACCCTCCGTCTCTATTATTAATATGAAAGATGGCCATGAAAGCTAAAAAATCAGTACACATTTAATCGACATAATCATTGTTGCCGATGACTATCCTTTTTATGTGGTAGGTTGGTCACTTGACTTGATCAGAAAAACACCATTGAAAAGGCCCTATATAGTCAAATATTATTTGTTACCTTACCATTGTCATGTATAATCCATCAGAATATAACATGAAATGTTTTAACAGTTAATTACCTCGAATAGAAGCAGTAGCATAAGAATGAAATAATAATAATGCTAATTTCTCCCTCTCAGGAATCATGCATTTTCCGTATATTAAATTCAATGATGCTTTAATAAAACAGATCAATTATCATCATCTCTTTTTTATAATTGGTGTATTATTGTTAGATGCTTATATAGAAAAGAGGAATGTTGAAAAAATCGTGTTACGAAAAATATGCATTTCACTATTGTTTTTTAAAACTTTAATCTCAAAATTTTACCAAGCTAAAAGAAATCCTTTGTGACGAGTTATATACACAAGTGTCATTAACTCAAAACCGACTTTTTAGGCAACATTCCTTATCTAATTATCTAATAAATCATATTATAAATATGTATATATCTTTATTTACATTGTAAAAATCAAGTCGCGAATACCATTCGACACCACTTTCCCCAACCCTCGCAATTTTTATATGTTTTTATATGTAACTTATTTATTAGACTACTCAATCAATGCACCATTTGGCCACGAAATAGTCTATTTTATGAAAAGCTACATCATTGTGCAAAATGATGCTGGGATGTTTCGCATCCAACTATTTTTAGGAGGTCTTTAGACCGGGCCAACTATATATTTGGATAAGATTCTGCACTTGATGTGTTCGTAAATTGTTCAGCAACCAAGTGACTTGCACTATTACCATAAGATTGTGCGAGTTTAACATTCCGAATCATTTCTTAATTTTAGTAAATAATGAAAAATTCAATGTATGTTTTGGTAAAAACATAAATATATACATGTGCAAAGGGCATAAGGTTTACAAATCTTTCGCAAAAATCCTTCATAGATTGTACAAGTTTAACATCCTGAATCATTCTTAATAATAAAAATTCAATCTAAAAATATAAATTTTATTTATTTATAATAACAAATATAATTGCTAAAATAAGAAACAAACTGAGGAAGATGAGTAATTCTGTGGCTAGTTGTAGTTGTTGGAGTTGTTCTAGTTGTTGGATTTGGATTTCTTGTTTTTGGAGTTGGATTTGGATTTCTTGTTCTTGGAGTTGGATTTGAAATTCTTGTTCTTGGATTTGGAGTTCTAGTTGTTGGATTTGGATTTGGAGTTCTTGTTGTTGGATTTGGAATTCTTGTTGTTGGATTTGATCCTCTTGTTGGGGTTCTTGTTGTTGGTCCTCTTGTTGTTGGAATTGGTGTTGTAGTTGTTGGAGTTTTTGTTGTTGGTCCTCTTGTTGTTGGAGTTGGTGTTCTAGTTGTTGATGTTGTTGTAGTAGGAGTTGGACTTGTTGTATTTGGTTCTCATTTTGGAGTTGGAGTTCTTGGGTCTGTTGTAATTGACTATATAATTGTTGGAAGATGGTTACTTGTGGTGCGCGAGGTGCACGAATTACAGGTTGAGATGGAGGTAAGAGTTCTTGTTCTTGTACTAGTTGCCGTTGTTCTTGTTGTTGTTTAACGAAAAACATATTATTATTTATTTTTTAATTTTCTTATTCGAATTTCTTTTTATCGGTATTGGAAATACAACTTTTTCAAAATTTAAAATGTTAGTATTGGATAAAAAAATTTCCAAGATTAAATATTAAATTTAAAGATAATCCTAGGCACGTGAAACTTTCCTTTAAGAAAAACTGTTTAAATCTACTAGACTTGAGTTGTAATAACAAGAATTGTTATAACTGTATGCGAGATAAAAAAAACTTGTAAAACATTTTTCGCCATATTCTAAGTTGCCATAACTGACAAGATAATTCACAATTAGACTTGTAATTCCTGTTTTTTCTTTGTAACTGCATGCAAGATGAAAAAACAAGTTTTTTCACCACCCATGATTGACAGACAGATATAGTAAAAAGACTCGTTTTTAACAGAATAATCACTTTTTATGTCGAAAAAATAATACAAAAATACAAATAAAGATATATTAAAAAATTTAAATTTTGCATTATTATTTATAATAATTAAACATTTTTCTTATCTAGTCCAATAACATGACATGAATAACAAAGATTTGTTACTGTTAGTTGATGGTTGCTGTAAATATAATAATCAACCCAATATTTAAATTTTACTTTAATTAAATATATTTTGTTAATTATCATAATACAGTGTGATATTATCCAATTTCCCAATATTTATCACAAAGTAATTATCTAATCTCACCACCCTCTTCTCCAATAAAGATCCGTAATAATAATTAAATTATGATTCCTATATAGTCACAAAAAGAGGTTTTGTTGAAAATTATTTGTGATAGCAAAAACGAATATGTAATGGTGGTGGTGATTGCATTTATTACAACGCGTCATCATTCTAGTTTACATTAAAACTTTGACTTTACTTCATAGAAAATTAGAAGCTGCTGATATTCGAGATGTGGCAAGTAATAAGTAAAAAAAATTTTTCCGAATAATTAAGGTTAATTGCTTTGTTTTTAATGATCGCAGGAAAAATATGCCACCCTCGAATGGAGGTGTCCTTTTAAATCCAATAAAACATTTAAAAAACTGTAAAAATTAGAAATTCGATTCTTAAAGAAAATTAATAGCTGGGAGAACGTTTGAAACAAATGAGGTACAACAACAAACAGAAAAGAATCTATCTTGATATCAAAGACGCGAAATGAAATTTATTATGTCTTTTAGGTTATGTAACAATAAACAATTGAATAGTAGAATATTTCATGATTATTAAAGGCAACATAAACATTGAAAACGAAAACACCAAAAACTGGAAATAATTTTGGGGTTCAAATTTTTAAACCATTACAGTGTCAAAGACCATTCTGACCATATCACCTTCCTATGATGTGATGATGCGATTTAAATTTTGGTGGGGGAACCGTAACTCTGAAGTTTAACAGAAAATTGCACTGTTGTCAAAGAAACTGTAACCGGCTTTTAGAGCTCTCTTTGCCCAAAACCTCCAAGTTTGCGGCGTTCGCCAATTTATATAGTGTTGGAACATGCTGACATTTTTGTAATACGGCTCGCTTTTTTGTAAATGGGAATATTTCTATTAACTCTACTACATCGCCTAAGCTTAATTAATGTGTTAGAGTTAGTAATGTTCATTTTATTTTTTTGGGAATAAAAAGAAAAAACTCCTTTTGTATGGGGAGACAATAAAACTATTTGTGAGTATTGCCTATTCTTTGGGCTCTCTGAGGGAAATCTATCAATAGCATTGCTATTATTATAATCATCATCCACCTCTTTCTTCTTTTCCATTCTGAATTGCTCCTATCATTTTTTTACCCTAGGATTGTTTTTTTACTGGCAGATATTTTTTATAACAGAAGCAGCAACCCTTTTTATAACTCGTGCGGGTTTCAATTGCCCAGTTTATTGAATGAAAAATCCGAGTCTGGTCGCGCCTTTTATCGTACACAATTAAAATTTCAATTTCTCGCAAGCATTTTTGTTCATTAATTGGTTTTATCAATTTGCAATAGAACTAGTCCTTACAGTTTTATAGTAAAGCAAAAAGCTCGGCTAAAAAAACTGGTTGGAATATCCCCTTTATCAAACACATTTTATGGACTATCAAAACTCAGGATTTGTGTTTATATTGTTCCCAATGCAAATAAAAGAAAGATTTATTTATTTCAAACAAAAAAATATTGTATTATAGTAGAGACTCGATGCGTAATACTGTAAAACTGTTTCGGGTAGTTTATTTTCCTTTGTGAACGATTATGAAACTAAAAATGTTAAACAATTGTCTAGTTTGATCCCTGAAATTTTTGTGGCATCACTTTGTCTATCCCTATATAACAAATAATGATTTTTTTATTTTCTGCAAAAGATTCTAGATCAAATATATATTTATATAATGATAATAATATCCCCCCAAAAAATATATATAAGAGATGCATTTTTTTTTTGAAAGGAGGAATTTTCTAATTTGTTTATTATATATTATTTGATGTTTTAACATTTTTCAGTATTACGAAGCCACTAAACAATAAATGGAAAATTTAGTATTATTCATTTATATTAAAGTCAAGCAAAGAGTGCAATATACTAAAACTTACTGTAATCGTTTACTTCGACTTCGGCTGGCATTTCAGTAATGTTTACTTCAAACCTTTCCTGTACTTTGAATAAAATGTCTGCGTCGTCTTGATCGGCTACAAAAGTGATTGCAATTCCCTTAGTACCAAACCGTCCTGCACGACCAACCTAGTATTTATAATCATGTGGATTAATTATAATAAGCAATAGTAATTATTTTATTATTCTTTAGTTGTGCCATCTATTACTTACTCTATGCAAATAACTATCAGGACCATCAGGCATATCATAATTAACGACTATATTAACACGTTCAATGTCAATTCCTCGTCCAAAAACATCTGTAGCGACCATTATTCTTTTTTGAAAATCCTTGAATGATTTATACCTGGCAATCCTATTATTATTAAATATTTTAAAGGTAAAAATAAAATAATTTGATCAACAATCCATTATCACACACATACACACACACACATATATATATCAACTACCTTTCTTCCTGTTTCATTCCACCATGGATACAGATGCTTGGGAAATTGCAATCACACAATAATCTATTTAATTCATTCGCTCGTTGAATAGATTTGACAAAAATACACACTTGATTAAATTCAAGCGTGTCTAATAAATCGTTTAACTGACGATTCTTTGAACCTTCAGTCAACTTGATGTAATACTGTTGTAGACCATGTAATGTAAGTTTAGCCTCATCATCAACATAAATCTCTAATGGCTACAAAGTCAAAGAAAGGAGAAATTACTAATCAGGAAACAAATTAGAAAAAAATCACTGTTAGCATCCTCCTTACATTTTGCATAAATTTTTTACATATCGGTCGAATTTCTTTACTTAAAGTAGCACTAAACATCATTACTTGTTTACTATGTGGTGTTTTACGAAAGATTGCTTGAACATCTCGTCTCATATCTAATTAAATCAAGAATAAGAATAGTAATAACGTATCAATCAATAAATAATAATTTGAAATTTTATACAAACAAAATAAACTGATTGATTGATTGATTGATTGATTGATTTATTGATTGTATAATTTTAATCTCATAAAATTTTAGTTGTAACCTTAGATGAGAGTTATATTTTTTTCATTATTTTTAAATAACTATAATATAAATAAATAAATAAATAAATAGTTTCTGCACCTAATTGATCCAACATTTTATCACATTCATCGAGCACAAAATGTTTAACACTGCCGGCTTTAAGATGTCCATCGTTGACCAATGCCAACACTCTTCCAGGTGTTCCTACTAGGATATGTGGAATAGTATCTTTACTTGAAAATTTTTTATAATCTTCTCTAATCGGAATACCTCCGTAGAAAACATCAGTTTTGATTTCTGGCATATATCTGCTAAATCTAGTATATTCGCTTCTGATCTGAAATGCTAATTCACGAGTGTGACAGAGCACAATAACAGACACTTCTCCTGGTGTAGGATCCGCTTGTTGAAGTGTTGCAAGAACAAATACTGCTGTTTTGCCCATACCAGATTTAGCTTGACACAACACGTCCATTCCCAAAATTGATTGAGGGATACATTCTTGCTGAACTAGTTTTTTTTTTATTTGTAAAATTGTTGATATGTTATTATTTAAATATTGATAGATAGATAGATAGATAGATAGATAGATGATGTATGCGTTGAAATTAACCTTCACTTGGATGTTCAAAACCACAGTCAACAATAGCACGTAAAAGTTCTGGTTTCAATAAAAAATCTCTGAATCCAGTAGAGTGAATACCAACATAACTTCCCTTTGTATCTTTTTTATCGTCGTTTTCTTCCTGACCATTGTCAATAGATTGTTCTGGCTGAACGAGTTCAGAATGGGTAACATCATCTTCCTCCTCATAATCAATCAAATCGTCATTCATTTTTATTTTTTTACGCGTATGTTTTGTTTAACGTTTATTTATAAGAGTGAAAGAAGGACTGTTAGTTAATTATAAGTCAAATCAATCAATCGATTAAGACTGATGAGGTAGGTTAGTTTTAAAAAAAAATTTTATTTAATTGATGATCAACAAGAAATTATTTGGATTTTTTTATTTTCATCATCTTTAAAAATTAAATTTACATTATTTATTATGATTGATCTTATTATTAATTTTTTGCTGATTTGTTTGCCGATTTTGTTGTTGATTTTGTTCAATTGGTTGCTGTTCCTGTTGTTTTTGTTGTTCCTGGATAGGTGTTGGATAAGATGATCTTGGAGTATTAAAATATGAAAGGTAATCGTAGTTAGGGTCGTAATTGTTCGATTGACTGCATTGATTATATGGATTGTATGGATTGTATGGATTGTACGGATTATATGGATAACATTGCAACTGATTTTCAGTCATTGTTACAGGTTTGGTAATCGGTCGTGATGGTGGTGATTTTCGTGGCGGTGATTTTCGTGGTGGTAATTTTCGTGGTGGTGATTTTCGTGATGATTTCTGTGGTGGCTTTTTTTTTCGAGGCCTTAATACCAAACCTCCATCATCACTCTCATCTTTATCATATAAATAATATAAATAATAATAAAGCAATTTGATATACCAAATCATTAATTATAAATGTAAAGTATGTACCATTGATTCTCGATACATTAGATTGTCGTCTCATATTATCATTATTGCTATTATTTCTATTATTATTATCATTCCTGATGTTCGTTTCATTTTGTTGTTGATCTAGCATGGGACTTTGTTATAACAGTAATTTACTTAATGGAGGGATTATACATATATAATATGAATTTAATCAATAATAATAATAATTGAATTCACACCTTGACCGATTTAACAATTCACTTATGACATCGATATCATCATTATGATTAATAACTGGAAGATGATGTTCTCCTAGATTTGGTTTTGGTGTTCTTGACGTTGGGCATGACTTCTACCATGTAAATAATAATCATCATTATTTATTAAATAATTAAATATGGGGTTTTTTTTGAACAATATGATAATGGTTAATTACCTTATTTGATGATTTTTGATGATTTGTATTCTTGTTTATATTGTTGTTATTATTATTGTTACTCTTATTATTACGGCTGCCAAGTTTCAATAAATATATTTATATTTATATTTATATATATAATCAATCAATGAATCGATATTACTTTTAAATATTTATTATCATTCACCTGTTTCCATCTGATCGATTTGAAGATTGATTAGCATTTTCATTCATACTTAACAGATTTTTTAATTGGACATTCTCATTTGCAAGATTGATCAATTGACTGAATTATAAAAAAAAAAATATTATTATTTTCATTAATTAAATCAAAATTGTCATTATTTATTTTAATCAATAAAAAAAATCAGTAAAGAAGGATCGTTTACCTTTCCAATTCCCTTTTCTCGTTATTTGCTTTATCAAGCATAGTTTCTTGTTGTGCCACTTTATATTTCAAATGATTGATGATTGATTTAGTATTGGATTGCTGAAACTATTTTATCAGACGAAATAAATTAATTATAGTAATTAAATAATTGTAATCACCATCATTTATTATTATATTATTACTGATTGATTGATTGATTTTACCTTAAAAACATCGGAAATTCCGTCCAACGCCTCATTAAATGGTTGGAAAAAAGATGATAGCCTATGGTCAAGCTTGTGGTTGTAATTATTATTATGAATATTATAATAAAAATAATGTTATTTCAAGAGGAAAAAACGCGCAATTTGCTTTTTGTGGTTTCTTTCTTTCTTTCTTGATATCACTACTTACATCCTTATTACATTCAACAATTGCGCAATTTTCATTGCAAAATAAACAAATATTTGCATTAAGTCTCGAGGAAGATTTACCTAAAATTTTATTGAGAATTTTATCCGATCAACTAGATCAACTAAAAAAAACCAAACTCCTTTACTAAAAAAAGAACAATACCTTGGCTATTATTGTTATCGTTATCGTTATTGTTATTGTTATTGTTATCAACTGTAGTGGTAGCACTGTAACTACCTTCTTCGACCTTGATTCCCTTACCAACGCCATTTTGTTTATTACCATCATTACCGTGTCTATTGACACAAGAATTACAAATTACTCGTCCACATTGGGTTAACGAAAATCTTATTTCTTTATTTTTGGAAAAAGAGGTCGAATAGGCAAAACACGCGTTGCAATGTAAAAATATATCATTGTTCATTGTATGTTTTTTTTTGGGTTTTTTTGAAATGTGTGATCTATTTTATTATATTTGATCTACAAGCTGAAATATATAGTAACACGAACTAAAATGCTGTCTCTCACACTCTTCTCACTCACAAATAAATTTAAAGAATCTTATAAATCAGTCGATTCTGTTAAATCGTGCTACAACAAAAAACTGTGAAATCTGCCCACACCGACAAGGTTTCCAGTGCAAGGTTCAACTTTTTTTTTTTTTCCAAAAAATATATATATATCACAAATATCTTGAGCTTATTATTATATATGGTGAGTGGATTTTTGATTTTAATCTCCTGTTGAAATAAGAGTAATGGTTATAGATTGATTACCAGTTGAGGCAGCGTGCGTGACGCATACAGTGGAGATCACTTATAGTCAAATTGTTGATATATAGTAACAACAATTGGTCGGCTTTCAGATATTATTAATTATTACAAAAAAAATCGAGTAATTTCGTGTAACAAAAATATTAAAAGAAAATTATTACCAAATTTGGTCATATTTATTCGCTTTTGAATTAAAGATAAAATTACACTATTTATTTGTTCTATAAATAAATTATAAAAAAAATGAATTATAAATGAATTATAAATGAATTATAAATAAATTATAAAGAATAATAAAAATTGGTATAATCATTAACATTTGGGAAAATTAATTTAAAAAATGCATGAATATTAAAAAAATTAAAATTATGAAGGTGGTTTATTCTTTTCATCTAAATATGATATTAATGCTGACGTAGTGAGGGATGGTAATTCCTCAACTGCTTCTTCGAACACAGCCATCATACCCATTAACATATGAGGTGCAATATGACAATGTACAATCCAAGCTCCAGGATTGTCAGCTACAAATCTAACCAATCTCCATCCACACCCATCACCTTCTTTTGCTGTATCAGAGGGTGTATCAGCATAAGCAATTGTGGTATCTCTTGTAACCGGAAGCGCCGCAATCTTGGTCTTATCAAGTCCATTTGGATACAATCCAGGTCCATAGGTAATATCCCAAAATTTATGACCGTGTAAATGCCATGGATGATATTCACAACCTCCTGCTGAGCTGATCGTACTTTGAAACACTAAATCAATAACTTCATTCTTCTTGAGCGGATAAGACTTACGAGTCGCATCATATCCATTAACATCCAGAGCAGTATAATCAATAACCTTTGGTCTTATACCAGTAATCAAATCCAGTAGTATGGGAGTTGGAAAATCTTCATATGCTACACCGTTAACATGAATTCTTACTATTCTTCCTCCATTTGCTGTCATTGTGGCGTTTTGATGTTGTACCAGGACTATTGTGCGATCTGCAGCTTTAGTCGGTATTGGGTCAACGTCTGCCAACATTTCGAAAGTTATTGGTGTAGATTGATCTGGTAAAACTGGAATACCACTTGGTGGAGTAGCGGAATTTACGTATCTTAAGATTGCTGTTGCATTTTTTCCGCTGGTTGGTAACTCTTCACGTAATCTGATTTCACCATAAATATTATAATCACCGGGAGGTTGATTTGCAGTAACTAATACTGAGTATCTTTGTCCTGGAGCTACTTCTAATGAGTCAACTACCACTGGCTTCACGAATGAACCCTCAACCTCTTTATTAGGTAGGAAGGAATAATTAGGAATAATTAAATTAATCAATTGTACTATATATTTTAATTTTTATAAATATTTATTTAAATGATTTTTCTTTACTTACCAATAATTGTCATTTTATGACCAAAAATTGCTAATAGAAAACAGGTAAATAATCAGTAGAATATGTATTAGCAACATTATTAACAACAACCACGAAAAATCACCCATATATATATATATGACGACATACCAAGTACGATAGTTTCGACTGAAGTGGCACCAATAACTCTTATACGATAAGTTTTCGATGCTTCAACTTGAAACACCGAGTCACCTTTAAGATTATCATCAATCAATATCTCAGCTGGGTCACCAACAGCAGTAAAATTGTTTGGATCTGTTACTCCTTTTACCAATACTTCATCACTGTTAGTCCATAAATCTGAAAGCATTAGTATAAAGGGTTTATCTGTGACACCGAATGGAAACTCTTCATATGCACCATAATCTGTTGGTGGAGTCGTGTCTCTTACGATGAATGCTCCATGACCTGTTATTGCTGACAAGGCCCAATGTGAATGATAACTAAAGAAACATGAATGGATAAAAAATATTTTGTTATATTAATTATATAGCTCACTACACCGCACAGGGTTAGCGTTGGCGATTGGAGATTTTACTATACTTTTTTGGTAATTTTGGACATTGGCGCAGCCGATCACATCCAAATACCAAAAAGGTATAGTGTAATGTCCAATTGTGTCAACGCTGACTGAGAAGTATTATTTAACATGTCTAAATTAATAATTACTTACAAAAAAGTTCCGGCTTGTTTTGTGTCAATTGAGAATTCGTACAAATAAGTTTGACCGGGTAAGGTTGGAAGCTGAGTTATAAATGGAACACCGTCTGCCAATCCATTAATAATAGTCTTTCCGGTCTCATTTACAGCAAAATTATAATTATGTTGTAAAATGCCATGAAAATGTATAGTGAACGCATCAATATTATCCTTGCTAATAATGTTAATATTAGTAAAATCATTATCACTAATATACTCTCTTTTTCTTTTATTGCTTCTTTTAGTAGTAGAAACAATATTATTTGTTATTCTTATTCTCATCAAATCACCCGGATCACATATTATTGTTGGTAGCGGATATACACCATTGCCATGAATTGCCATTCGTTTAGGGTCATCTTTTAGCGGTGCATAAGTGATAGCTATTTCATATTCTCTTGTGATTGAATAAGATGACGGCAATTGAATTAATAATATTAATGCAACTAATATTAATATTCTATTAGAAAAAGCGAAGGAAATTGCCATTTTTCTTTTTTTCGTTATATTATAATTTTCGGAGAAAAATTATTTCCTGACTTTTGGAATTCATTTTTGATCACACTTTATATAACAATATGATAATCTATAAATAGAAAAAAACCCTAATGAATTAAACTCCATAAATACTTTTTTTCAAATTGTTTTGGAATATTTGTTAAATATTTACAAAACTCATAAAGGGGTTGTAAACATATTTATTCTTTACTGTCATTGCATTTTTGTGATCACAAGCACTAGAACTTCTGTTGCATGGTACGATATTGGTGAAAAATAATAGTTATTATTTTTAAAACAATCTTATTGTATGCTTAATAAAGATTTTTGGTATCCATTTACTAAAAAAAAGCGGTCCGGGTTGCTTTATTTATGATTTTCGTATTCCGTATTCTTTGTGTATTTTTTTACAAAATGATTTTTCCTAAATGATTCTTCTTTTAAATATTTATAATTACACAACCCGTTTTTTACAAAGTTGGAAATTCTTCCTTGACGCCAAAATGTATGTGTCACCCAATTTATAACAATTAGATAATTATTATTCAGTCAATGTAATTGAATATTTTCATGAATGACCATAGTGTATATAAGGTTCGTTCTAAAAATACTTTTGTAGTTGTTGCGAGGAGAATCCGAGTATTTGGTATAACTTTACACTATTCTAATTTTTCCCTCCTGAGTTAAGAGTCGCAAATTAATTTTCTTGGCATGATAATTTTCCAGGCATGTTAATTTTCTAGGTTTCTTTGAATTTTTGCTGGATTCTGTCTGCACGAACGATAGATTTTAATTTTCGCTTGACTAAAATTCAACTTGTATTTATAGAGTTTTCTTAAACTATGAAATTGCGCAGTTGCTATACACAGCCTCCCAATAATTTCACGCCATAATAGGGTAACCTGATTGAAAAGAGGTTTGAATCTGGTTTGAATGATTTGTAATAATAAAACCAAGGCTTTACTATTGTTGATTACACGATTAAATATGGGTTTTGTCGATCTATTTTACATCGGAAAAAAATGCCACAATAATAATAATAATAATAATAATAACAGGACCTCGGATAATTATGATTGAGCTAGTAGCATGTAAAGCATCATATAAAAAGTTGTAACCTCTATTCCGAACACCTTATTAAAAACGATAATAGTGTATTTTTTTAAAAAATTTCAATTTTTTTTATGCAAATGCTTAAGGTTTTGCTGGTGTTTTTTACAAGATCACTCACTACCACATTTTCACCATACTAGTTCAATTATTATTATACGAGGTCCTATAATAACTGCATTTGCGATGTGATAATCATAATCGTGACCGCATGTTGACGCCAACTTTTAATAACAATAATCTAGAAGAGAAGATAATAATAACAAATAGCATAATAATCGCAAGCAACAATAATAACAAACAACAACACAAAGAATTCAAATTTAGCTTGATTAAAAATTCAAAATCAAACCTTGAATTGTTTGTTTTCTATGTTACCTACCTTAATTATTTTCAGATACCATTTTTGGCTGAGATACAGCGTGTCACAAAAAAATTGTTACTGTCACCCGTCTATTCAGTTGGTTATTTCGTGTAATGTGGAATTGGCTTAAACTGCTAGTTAGCCATTTTCGTCGTTAATTGCGTTACAAAATAATTAAATAAAAAATAAAAATAATAATACAAAAATAAAAAAATAAAAATAATAATACAAAAATAAAAAATTAATAATAAATAAAAAAATAAAAAAATCTATTAATCTGGGATTAGAGTTTCAAACTTTAAACCTTATTGCATAACTTTACTAAAATTTGGTAATTCATCTTTTAAAATGGGTAATAGGATTGAATTTGCAATTGAATATTAAAGTAAAGGGATACACTCACTCAATAAATTACATCGAACAAGTTGAAGGAAACAGGTGGTACGGAATTAATTGTTAGAAATGGACGGAATTTACTAATGAAATAATGATCACACACGACACATACGATTTATATACAGTTAAAAATTTTTAATGGTAACACAAATTAAAAATTTTGATCATTCTTATTGGTCAATTTAACGATCAGCAAAGTAAAAACAGTCAATCGACCAACTTTTAAAGAGG